GTGGATCACATTTTTGTACATGAACAATTACTACACTCAAACATTTTTATTATATAGTAATTAGTTAAATATGATGTTCTAGGGCTAAAAATATATCAGAGATAGAACCAAATTTTTTTAATAGCTTGGAATTATTTTCGGGCCGGGCTAGGTCATTTTTTACAAATTATTTTAGATTGACCGGACCGGACTTTTTAAGAGCTTTTGATGATTTTCGAGCCGGGCTTGGGCTTTTTTTCACCAACATTTTTTGGACCGGTCAGACCGGACTTTAGAAAAAAAATGTTGGACCGGGCTGGGCCGTAAATTTATGGTCCTTGTAGGTCTTTAGTATATATATATACCTAATATACCTTGACTAAAATATAAATTTACTATAGTCTATTTTTATGATGCAATATTTTTATAGTTTGGATCGTTTGTCTGCTCTATTATATTATGTTATACTTGGGATCTTGTATGGTAGAAAAAAAAATTAGTTCACGGTCCGGTTCGGTCCGGTCCATAAACCTTTTACAGTCCGAAATCGTTATCGTTATCGTTCGGATCGGCGGTACGGTTTCGATCTACTCTAACAAATTATTTTAAATTTTCAATCCGGTCCGGTCTAATATTAGTCTAAAATTTAGCGATCGGTTCGGTTCGACTTCGGTCCGGTTTTTATAATTACGGGCTGTTAGAGCATTAGTACCTAACTATCAGGGGCATAATTAGGGTGGGAATTAGGGAGATGGATCCAACCCAAAACTTCTTTTATGTAATTCTCTTTTATTAATTATATTGTGATAATATGATTATTATAATTATTACTATTATTACGATTTAAATTAGAATTAATTTAAATTTAAATTTAAATTATTAAAAATTTTGTTCTGGTGGGGTGGGGGAAGGTTACTGTATGTGTAATGTATATTATCTTAAGTTTTAAGGTTATGTTTTTATGTACCTATGTATCATGTCATCAATATATTAAAATATTGTAATTCGTTTTTGCAGTAAGAAGTAATAAAAACTTAAAAACCTAAGTTATATCTGATGTAATCTTTTATTTATTAAGTCCTCTGTACACCAAAGTATGAGGTGTATAGATTTTTCTAAAACCTATAATCCCCTTCCCCCAAACCAAATTCCTAATTACGCCACTGCTACCTATTTCAAACTCAATGTGTATTGTATTTGTGTACTGTATATCAATAGTATTAAAAAATCTGAAATTTTCTTTTGTATTAAAAATTATATCAAATAATTTTTTTTTTCGTTTTAATATTGAAAATATATATTCGTCACAATACCAAGCGATAGTATTTCGATTAGACAAAATCACTAACATTTGTTTATTTATCTATAACAATATTTCACAAAGTTTAACCGTAACAATTATAACGCTAATTTAAGCGCTACATAGGCCATATTTATAATATATTTGATTTCTATAACATTTTAATTTAAAAATAAGAAAGTATAATATTGACTTTGACTAGATATTAGTTACTTAAAATAAAATTATGGAATTTTTCAATAACCGTATTGGTCACACTACTCGATTTAAATTGAGAAAAATCCGAAAATCTTTAGTGATAAATGTATTGATTTGGAGTAAAATTTCATCTGCACCTATGGTAATCCAACACTATTTCTCTTTATCTGTTGTATACTTCATGCATAATAAATTTGTTATATTAAATGTTTTACTTTTGATTATTATTTATTTTAAATAATTTTCATCAAAATTTGTACCAGTCCGGTATGGTCTAGTGGCTAGGATACCTGGCTTTCACCCAGGAGGCTCGGGTTCGATTCCCGGTACCGGAAAATTTTTTTACTACTAATTTTGTTATATAAATAAAATAAATTACTTACTATTTAATTAAAATTTAATTCCTACATTCGATACTACAATATTTTGCATACACATATATTTATTATATTATAAATTAAAATTATTAGATTTTTATATAATTTTGGCGTTTTTTCCGATAATGGTCAGAATGAAATTGTATTTTAATTATTAAAATAACCGAAAAATCGACTGTGTACGAATCGCATGGCTGAAAAAATATTTTAAACACAATTGGTCTATGCATTATTTATTAGTATGCACGTTCCGGTTGGAGGCAATCTTCAGCAGTAATTTGAGCAACAACAGTATATAGGTGCGAGAAGAAACACAGTAAGTACTCGTAAAAGTGAACGCATAATAATATACAACATTACTACAGTACCATATATAATCCGCTAAGATATTGCCAACGTGTTTTCTCCGTATAGACGCCTTAAATTATTCACTTTTTCCCTTATTTTGATTACCTAAGCCCTAAGATGATGACGATTTGAAAACTATTATTATAATATTATAACTTGTAATCGCGCAGCTCAAAAGTGTCATTATGAATACGCCTTCTCACCTGTCGTGTCATACGTGTACAATTTGTACAGTAATTTTATCGGCCATGCTTTGCCGCTTCTACAACGTATCAGAATTATTTTGCTTTTAAAAACGTCTACTCTCTGATACAGCACATATGTATTTAGCGGCAGGCTTCAGGAGATTCCCTGTTGTTTTCGTACGCATTACGTATACAATACGTTTACATTTGAGTATAATTGCAGATATATTATTATTATATTACCTAGAATATTGTGTATAAATTTACATATGATAATTGGTTGCATTTTTACCACTATATGTTCTGTGATCCAACGGATTATTGGCATATTATTATTACAAAAATGTTCATTATCTATATAAGTTCAGGGCTATTAATGCATATATACGATTGATAATTTAGAAGTAATATATATTATTATAACTTAACAATTTTAACTGGACTAAAAAATAATTTTTTATAAATTTGCATAAAATCGTGTGAATGTACTGTTATTGGTCTTTTAAAAATAAATATTTATGAATTATAATGAGCGGTCGAGTTCATATACCTAAACCTAACATTTTAATATTTACACTATAAACGTTTTATTGAATTCAAATATATTGTTTATATATTCAAACGAGATTTTTTTTTTTGCCACATGAACGTTCAATATTTTCTGAAATGATCAATAAAATCTTAACATTTACTAGACTGAAAATTGTATTTTTTTTGTGTCATGTATTCATCAATACTATTATTTTATTATCGAATCGTTAGAATATTATAGCATAATCTACCGCCGCGAGCAGAAAAATAATTACTACATGTCCCCAGCCCTTTCACTGCATTTCACCTTTCATTCTTTGAATTTGTTTTGTCATTTTTAGAATTTGTTTGACAACAGATTTTATACAATATCAAAAACCACGATAAGAGATTAGAACATATATCTACAGTCCCCACTAGTGTAAATACTTTGGATATCTAATTTTTTTTTTATCGTAATTTGAATTCGTATGATCATTTTCAAAATGTACACTTAACTCCCACTTCGTTCCGTAACACGATATATGGACGATATATGGACAATGTAATATTGATATTAATTTAATGAACCTAATCTAATCTCTGAAGACAAAAAAAATATGTAATAATAATAAAAAAAATGTTGATGTATTAGATACAGCAGTTTAATCAATAATCAAGTGCTGAATCCGATACACGCATGCTTATTAAATAATCTAATTTGCATAAAAAATATATTTTTTTTTTTTGATACTTTTAAAAATCTGTTTGTAATAATTTAATTTCGATAGTTTATTAAAAGTCTACTTTGTTCATTTTTTTCTAATTAAACTTATTATTATCTTAAAACTAGAAAACTAGTATTGTAAATGTATTTTATTGTAGAAACACCAAAACTGCAGAAGTTAAGGATTTAGATTTATCCTTAATCTTCAACATAGGTGAGTATATGAAAATTCAGTCTTGAATATTAAACCATTAATCCATTATCGCTGAAGTGTATTGTGACACTTAAAATAGGCTAATCATTCAAAACCGTCAAAGAAGAATGTTAAGCAAAGTAGTTTGTCTTCTTCACGAAAAAGCCAGACTTTATAGGACTCGAATTTCTAAAGAGCTACTTACTTCATTTGAATAGGGCATCATCAACCTTTATTCATTCGATCTAGCATCCTCAGATTATCATGTATTCACTAAATTGAAAGAATTTCTCTGTGAAAAACGTCATTATAATTACAACAAGTTAAAGAGATGGTAGAGAAGTGACTAAAGGAGTTGGCCAGAGACGTCTACGGACACGGGTATCGAAAAATATGAATGTTTTTGAAAATATTTGTGTTCACTAACAACATTATAAACACAATATTTACCTAGACGTACATTACCTCCTCCCACGTTAATCGGTACTTTGGTAAAATGAGCCGTCAAGTCGGCAATTCGATAAGAATATGCCGACTGCGTTACTCTAGAAAAAATTAAAATAGTGCCACTGTTTATAACTCTGTAAACTTATCACAGTTTTTTCATTTTTATTAAATATACTATTCATACATGTGTATATAAGAAAATATTTATATAAATATAATAGGTTAGAAGCGTAATATATAAATACTTAGTTAATGATTAAAACAACTTGAGTATATTAAATTGAAATTAAATTAATATAAGAGTCATATTGTCATAAGTTATTTCATTGAAATTGTAATTTCAATATGATCATTTAAAATATGGTAATGATATGCGCCTAAGCAATTATATATTTTTGAAATATAATGTATTATTATAAGAATTATTGACAGCCATTAAAGATAAGGATGAGCTCCAAATTTTGAATAGAATCAAATATAATGATATTACACACACACACGTACACACATACACGAGTATACACACACACAACATTAGATATAAAGAGCTCAGTTTTTAGTCATGCGGACAGACGCGTTCTTATTGTCTTTTTGTACAGACGGTCAAAGGCAAGTGTAAAATACTACGCAGATCGTCAATGCATTAAGACGTAAGTGGTTGTAATCGTTTGTAATAATTCAAAATACATTTATTAATGTATGTTAAAAAAGTTTAAATAAAATGAATAATAGTGAGTCAAAGAAAAAGTTATTATTATTTTTAAATATAAATTGGTCACCTTATTTTATACTTGAGACGTCAACCACGGTTTCAAAAGGCAAGTCGATATAAGGATCGGAAAGGTAATATTATTTATTTAAAATATAATAAGTAATTGATTTAAGAACATATAACCATTACCGGTAACTTTGAGTCTTATTTTCAAGCATAACACTATTTATGTTTAAATATATTACATCGTAATAAACTATTTAACACAATTTAAATTAACATATTTTAATCAAACATAATAAGTTATAATAATTATAATATAACTTTTGTTCAGATATTATAAAGCTAATAATTATACAGTAATAAATATTTATAAAAGGCTTAAAATAATCAATGAAAATACAATTTTGAATTAGAACAAAAAGTAAAACTTATATAGGTATAGAAATAAGTAGCAATAAGTAAGGAAATAAGTAACAAGTGTAAATATTAAAATTAAAATATAAAAGATACTTTGCACCTAGAATATATATTATTCAAGTCTATTGACTTGTTGTTTTGGATTCGATAGTTTAAAAACAAATAAGAATAATTATCTATATATTAATTTACCTAATAGAATAAACAAAACTTCATTAATATTTGAGTTTTAAATTAACTAAGAGCATTAATATGTGATTCAAAGTTCAATCATTCTTACTGAATTAATATAATTTACTTATTTAGTATGAACAAGAAATAAATTAACAGGAAGTACAATGTAAAAATGAATGTAGATATTAATTTAGCATTTCAATTTTTAACTCTTGTAGTTTTGCATTTCAGACTATAGTGATTAGAAGTTATTAGAAACATAATTAAAAAAATAAACCATGGTCTACTAGTTTTAGAGAATTTAGAATCAAGTACGAAAGATACATTTTTCATTTGAGTTTTATTCATTGCTCGTTTATAAAACTTAAGTAACATAGTGTGGCACATATGTATAGTATGTATAGTATAGTATGTATAACTATCGTTTAGATCATAGTAACTATAATTTATAATATTATTAACGAACTAGAGCATTTTTGACGATGTTAATGACTATGATCACAGACTATTTCAAAGGGATCCCATGAGTCCGGTATGGTCTAGTGGCTAGGATACCTGGCTTTCACCCAGGAGGCTCGGGTTCGATTCCCGGTACCGGAATAATATTTTGAAAATTTTCATCAAAAATATGAAAATAATTTACTTTTGCATAACAAAATTACTAAATTTTTTTTTGCATTTCTTGATATAGTCATAATTAAAGTGAAATATTATATTTATGTACTATTATTACAAAGCTACACCATTATAGATTTATATTGACTATCCGGGTTTGAAATGTTGGTTTACTGAATTATTGTAAGCACACACTATGAAATTCATAAAAAATATATCATTTTTCTTCATCGGTCTATCATAATTTAATGGCCTTTACTTGATAACGACGTTCCGTATTATCTTATCATTGTCATCTCATTGGAATTAACAATTTAAAAAAATATTAAATTAAAATTTTTACTTGATTCCATTGATTATAGTTAGAGCTGTGATGTTAATATTTTTTTTCGTACTTATTAGCTGTGTTTTTTTAAATAAAATAATTTTAAATATACATTCAAAAGAGTATATAAATTTTTGAATTAATATTAACTATTTTTTTTTTTGCATATAATTGCATATTTTGACATTTTATATTACATATTTTTATGAAATTTTGGTCATTAATTAGTTTTCGATCTATTAAAGTTAAATTTTACAAAGGTTAAGCATTTTAAGTATCAGGATTACACTGTAGAAAAATAATATTGCTGATATTTTCAAACTTGAAGGACCTTCGACGATCCGATAAGAAGTTTTTATAGACTGTAAATAACATAATTAACGGTAATGATCGATAATTTATAATAATATGGATTATTTTTAATATTATACATAATAATTTATAAGATATATACTATAAATAGATATATAGCTAATTAACCTAAAAACAATCGATGTTTGCATTTATATACTCAAAAATGTCAAATATACAAAAATATGCAAAATAAGTTTGCATGTTTGCAATCGAGATTTCATGAATCGAATTTATATCATATTAGTGTATAATTCTGGTTGCGCGAAAAAAATATGCCAAGTCATAAACATCCGAGCTTTAATTATAATCAATGCTAATACCATATACCATCGGCTTTACATTTATATTTATAATACTTATTAGAAAACTTTGATATTCGTGTATTATATTTTTGTTTTTTGCAACTATATATCTGTTTTAATTTGACATTTGTAGTGATTTCAAATAATTTTAAATTTTGATTATGTAAGTAATAATGTAGATTGGAATAAAGGGAATGAATACCAATATTACGTACATATTTTAATTTGATATAGTTTGTTACAGAAAGCTCAACACACAATAACAATCCCGTAACAAATTAAAATAACTTATAGTTTTCATGAATAACTAAAAGCCACATAAGGCGTTGAAACTTAAAGTGAATCTAAAGATTTTTAAACAAAATCATTGTTACTATAGTAATAATGATTTTGTTTAAAAACTATTTGTAGTTTGTTTGTCTTTTATAATATCTGGACGTTTTTTAAACAAATTAATTTGTTGTTGAATAACAATATTAAAGTAAGTTATAGCGCTTCCGGTAATTTTCAACTCCGTGTTAAACGTATCTGGTCTAAATCGAACTCTAATTATGGATAAATAATATTATTCATTAATAAGAAAAACTTACAAGCCGATGTGAATAGTTAATTATATATTTGAAGATACCTACTATCAGTACCTAGAGAACTTTCTTCTACTTATACACACAATTTCTTTATTGTTTTAGATAAAATATTCTAAATAACTTATTAAAATTAAAATAAAAAGTTATAACGACGATGTTTTGGATTATTCCTACATTAACTAATTATATTATATTTAATTATTTTTTATTTATTCCCGAAATCCGAATAACTTATTCGTCATAACTTGTATTTGCAGATAAATAAATAGTAAATAAGTGTAATATACTTACTAAAGAGTGTATAATTTATATATGTTTGAAAAAATCAAATTTAAAAAGGTTGAAATTCATAGGTCGGGTAAGGATACAAGGATAAATGAATGGTACTGATGTTTTGGTCTTTTAAATTTGAACTTATACCAATATTTTCGAAAAAAATAATTTGATGTCAAAGATTACAAGGGAATTAGCTTTCATTTCTAATGATGATTCTTATAGTAGAAAAATCAAATTTCTCAATAAAGTAGGATGAAATTTTAATATTCGAACTTCCGCAATAATAAAAAGGCATTTAAAAAGGCAGATCAAAAATTTCTCTATAAATAGTGAAAAAGTTCTTTAAAATATTTGGAAACTAGATGTGAATTTAAAGAAAATCAAGACCTCTGTGTCATCAAATTGTCTTTCTAAAACCGACGGTTTTACGGCTACTGCCAAGAGTATCTTCCTAAATATCAAAACTTATAGTTGTTTTGAGTGCTTTAAAATCGCTGATTATTGCAATGTCTTGGGTTTAACAGCCATTACGTGGTCATTCTGTTAAACCTGTCCAATCAGAGTGTGTTTTTGCCATCTACATCATACTTTTTCCGTAGAAAATACAGTTATGGCCTTCCAGGATTTGGGCTTCTCCGTCATAAGTGTGCTAAACGATCAACATAGAATAAGCAAAGACGCTTTACTACTTCTTATTTTTGTTCTTGTTCCAAACGAATTCAATCAGAATATTTAACGACTATCTACCCTCTTAAACTTCAAAATAGTGGTCGAAAAACTGCACCATACCCGTTTCACACCACAATGCAAACGGTATCAGCGATACGGTCATACACGTTCCTGTTGCAATCAACCGCTAAGATATTTCAAATGCAGCAACGAAAATCTAACCAAGGACTGCGTAAAATCAACGAAACTACCTGCAAAGTTTGCATTATGTTTTGGTGTACGCACTGCAAATTATAAAGGTAGCCCTCCTTTAAAAAAAATATCAAAAACTTCTTACAAGAAAGATCGCGTTACTTTTATCATTAATAGTGCCTATAAATGCCTTGTCAGCCATACCTGAGTCTTTATTCGCAATCACCCGATGCAAATAAAAACTTTGAGTAAAGACGTCACAGAAGTAACTATAGACGACTCGAACAATCTAAAAACTGAATTTATTTCGCAAAATTTCTTTGGTGAAAATAAAATCGGCTGGAACCGATTGATCTTTTTCATAACCCAATTGAGCACGGTTGCAATCGAAAAATAGGAACCAAAAAAGAACCAAAAAACCACACGATTGAGCATGAAAATGGGCGCGACGTTGCCGCTCTGTACCATAGAATATTATTCGGTGCACCGTATTACTGTGCATTCAAGATTTTTTTATAATTATTATGTAATTCAATTTTAAATTTGTAACGATTATTTCATAATTTAAAATATTTACGACTCAGATTTCATAAAAGAAATAACTCTCCAATAAAAAAATGACAAGACACCTTTTTTTTCGCATTTTTTATGTTGTTGGTGTATAGAGCTCGGTGCGTCATATAATTATTACTATTATTACTAAATAAAATACACTTGAGTATAATTATTTATAATTAAAAATTTTTTATTGGATTTTAATAACATGTTTTAATTACATTTTTTTTTTGCTAAAAAATAGCACTCATACAATTGTCATGAAAAATGTAAAAATTTAAATTTTTTTCCCTAAATATTTATTTTCAACTTTCAATAAGTATTTAAGTAGGTTGTCAGCATTTTTAAATTCAGAGTACTCACGATAAGCCTTTATAGCGGTATTTTTAACGTATGGTAAATTCAAGGTGCACGCGATAGTTATTCGAAATATCGCGCCATAATTTTACTGCGCAACATTCGTGTGTTGTGCTCTATTCATTTTAATATACTTTAACAAAACGCACAGTAAAATTACAGTGCGGTAAAAATCTCGCGCGGTATAATAACGCTAGTGTATTGCCAGCCTAATAGTTAGTTTTCAATCTGACAACGTTGTACACAATATTTTTTTTTTTTTTTACTGTACGCAATCAGGTCGTCAAAAAGGTCGGCCGATAAGGACCGTGCTCAATCGGGTATCACCGATAAAATCACCCCTTCTCCACCCCATACCATATTGATATTACATACACATAATATAAAATATAAATTCGGATTATAGGTATAAATGTATAATAATATTTATATATTATATTAACTTAATTATTATATATTATATTATATTATATTATATTATATTAATATTATATTAATATTAACAAGCTTTAACATTAATCTATTAACAAAAATATATATAAATGAATTGACTTGAAAAATGTATTTTATAATAATTATATAACTTATATTTCATTTGCAGATAGGTGTTGTGGGGTATTTATTTTTTTAGTTTGAAACAGTTGATTTTACTAACAACAAATATATTTTATTGAAATGATAAAATTAAAAGCCTTGATATTAAATATCTTATTTGTTATTTGTTTATTAAATATTTGATCGTACTAATCGAATATTGTATTTGTATTAATGTAATATTTTATTGTATTGTTTAGATATTTTGTTAAAATAATGTCATTCAGGACAACATGATATTATTAAATTAATAATGTAAGTTTAATCAAAAAGATAAAATATTTGTCTTTTTTAAGGTGATTAGGAATTGATAGTTTAATTTTGTTAGTCGGACAAATTTATTTGTAATCTGAATAGTGACAAATATTTTGTCGATCGAATCCATATTTTCATCAATGTTATTAAGGTTTTTTTTTTTTTTTTTGTGGAAATTTATGGACATCCATATTTTTTTGGTGGTTCAGTGAGCCATGTAAATACAATGTAAAGCCGCTACTACTGGAGCGCACATTTCTAAACCTCCACATAACGGTTTTATGGAACGATTTCTCGAATACATATGTATACTGTTATACGTTACCGATCATGTGTTCGAGTATGATGTTCCATCCAATTACGAATGCCCAGAACTCGCCGACACTGACGTACGTGTAAACGTACGCGGAACCGGCTTTTGGGATGCGAGTGCCGAACTCGGCGTAGCAAAGGGCGGCCAACATGGACGCCGCACCGGCCAACATAAATGACAGAATGATCGCAGGACCGGCCATCTCCTTGGCCACGGTGCCGATCAGCACGTAGATCCCAGCACCCACCATGTGACCGATGCCTGTGAAAATACATCGACGCAACGCCTGTTAAATACCGCGTACATATCATGATTAGGATTGGACAAACGCACGTGGCTGTCTTTTCTAACCACCACGTGTATACTACATTAAATGTGGTAAAATTAATAAATTTTAAAAATAGTAAATTGTATCTTATTAAATTTTAAATTCGACACGCAACCGAATGGAGCGCACTAAAACATGATTTTGTGTATAATTTGTATTGGGCCACTGTACAACATGCGGCGTCTAGACAAAGTTCAAAACAGTTTTCTGAATTTTGCTAGTTTTCTCACCCGCCTCACGATTATAGTCTTATCAGCGATATTTTCAATTTAAAATCATTAACCGAACGCCATAATATCTGTTGTAATTTCATTAATGGATTATATGGACATATTTTATAATATCTGGTATAAAAACGAAGTAATTAACAAATCTCTCAAAACGTGGTCCATGGTTACTATACATAATACAATAATATTTAGTAAAATAGTATAAACCAAATCGTTTAACGTTTACATTCTGTTATTGTTTAGTTACAAAATCGTCGTCCTTTGCGCCGCTACGGATCGAGAAACATTTTCGTTCGACATGTCTTCCGATCGTATTATTGTGCCACCGTACAACGAACAGCCAGTGGCGTACAAAACAGTGCGGGGCACTCTGCACGGCATCAAGACCCGAATGATCACAGCCGTCACCAAACCAACCGTAGGTGCGGTGACGGCCTCGCGTCATGGACCCAAAACGGATTCTAAATCCAGTTGGTCCGCGTATGAAAATTACCATTATCGGCAAACTACGGAAAACTGGCGTGAGAAATTGTACGCGAAAAGAAATGGCGCAGATGCAAGGTTCACCGCTTGCACTTATCGAGAACCATCATCCGATTTGCTGCCCGAGGCCACTGTCCCGCCGACCCACCGACCGCCGACCACGGCACACAAAATTGTAAGAGGCACTTTGCACGGGATCAAGCCCCGGATGATGGCTGCAGCCGTCGCGCGATCGACATGGAGTGCGAACACGTTAGCCGGCCGAATCGACCCGGTTAATTCACGTTGACCAATCAATGCTCGTGGATATGAAACGGCAATGAAAATCCATCGCCCATATCAGTCGGTTGTAAATCATGTGGACCAAGCGCGGAAATGGACTAGAGCCACGGTACGGCGTTGAGTACACCCGAATTTAGTCGAACCGGAGCGAAATGTTTGTCATAACTGTTAATCAACGCTATTTTTGCTTTATTTTTCCGCGTTAAGTTCTATTCAATATATCGTTTCTGTTATTGTCTATGATTTTTATGATCGTGAATATTCAATTTTTTCCTATTTATTTTGCGTAAAATTGATTTTCAGTCATCATTATAAAGTGTGTATCATGTAATTATAACCAGTGGCGCCGAACCCATACATAAAGTATGGCCACACATTATTTTGGAGGGTGGTTGGTCGGAGAGCTTGAAAATGAAAAGTTAAAGTTTGTGGTAGGAAACAAGTCTAAAAACAGAAGTATTTTTTGTAATAATATCATAATATTCTATAAGTTTCAATAATTATATTTAACAACTAATACAAATAAGACAACAAAAAAAAATAAAAAAAAAACATTAAGAAATCTAGTCTAGATTAGAATAATTTCAAAGAAGTTTCTAATATATATTAATAATTCTTTTATAGATTTAGTTTTTATGTTTTTTTTTGTTTCTATTTGAATATCTAATAGTGTACAAGTGTGAAAACTAATAAATTAATGAACACGTAAATGTATTATATATGACAATCCATTTTCGATCATTTTGACTCTTGACAGAAATGGTTTACGTTTCAACTAAAATTCCAAAAATAGTTTTACAAAAGTCCTCCTTTCCATTCACACTCCTTGTAATCTGTAAAAATTACTTATTTTACTTATTGACAACGGTTGATATTAAAATGAATTCGGTATAATTAATTTGGTATTGCCTAATGCAAATAATATTACTATTATAAAAATATAAATGATTATTGTGAACGTCAACGTTGGATTCAAAAGTTTAGACACTTTAAAATTGTTCATTAAAACAAATAAATACAGAGGTAAGTGATACCTATTTAAATTTTATTTTCAAATTTTAATAAAATATAATAGATATGTACTTAATTTATTTAAAACATAAAACTTAAAAATATATTACCAATAAAAACCGGTAAAATTACAAGGTGTGATTACTAAGCTAATTGTCCAGCTTTGTCCATTTGCCCACAATTATTATTAATTTAATTATCCTACCAAGTATAATGTTTTTATTGTTGTTACCCCTTCCATAAAATTTGACCTAGCGTTTTTAATTTTAAACTCCTTTTACCTCATTTAACTCTTTTAGAATTTGAATTTTGGAAAATGAGGTAATAAATAATCTATTATTTGTAATATACCTATAGAATATATTTTATACTAAGTTTTAAAAATTTTAAATTACTAATTAAATTGCATACTCAAAGCTTCAGCAATTTCGCCAAGTGATAGTGAATTAGTGAGTCAGTTAGAACATGCTATTTATACATATATATATTTATATAAGAGGGTGTCGGAAACCCTTCCCTTTTAGATATATGACAATGAAGGGGCAGGTAAGTACTATTTTTTTATTCTTGCCACTTCAAAAAAATTATAGTTCGGTGTTATTATTGTAGTCATTGTGTATGATATAATAAGAAACGACAGCATTGTTATACATTTAATAAAAAGGTGATAATAACATGTCTCTGTACATTCATTTACAGATGAGCACACTTATAATATTTAAACAAAAAATATTAGGCGGTAATTAACAAATGCACAATTTTTTGAGATATCATTCGAAACAATATATTATAATTGCTTATTATTCTTATATATTTATTTAAAATTACTATCTACTAGTGTATAAATATATTTGTTGTCATAACAAAACATACTTTGAAAAGAAACTGTTATCTCTTGAATTATAATGGGTAATCTGTTGGTATCATTGGTATGCGAGGAATAAAAATTAATTCACCTTATACAGATCCAGTCATAATTTCAATTTCTATCAAATTTTTGAATACTAGCTATACGTAGACGTGTCCCATTGCACAATGTTGGTGGGCTAAGATTTCTTAGAAGCATTATAGGAGTACCAATTTTTAATGTTAATATGCGGTGGAAATTCTGTAGGGTTGAGCAAGTTGAGAAATTTAACTGAATAATTAACTGAATCATCTACTTCCTTTACTGAATTTACTGATCTGTATTCCATATTTTTTATTTGGAAATAGTCCAGTAATAATTTGTTTATTTCTCTTGCTGTATAATTTTTTTATTTAAAAATAGCCCTATCACATAACCAGTTAATTCATATTTCTTTGTGGTTTTCGATGCTAGGATGTATTTTGTTTGTAAGTTTTTTTAAAGTTTTTAATAACAGCACCTAATCCTATTCTAAGTAATTTTTTCTTTACATTCTGGATACTTTTTATCTTTTGTTTTTTAAAATAGCTTAGAAAACTGTAGTATTTTTCACTGAATTAGTTCTTCTTAAGAATTCTACTTTTTGTGGGAGATAATATATATTACACACACACACATATATATATACATATAATTCTAATAACATACTTACAACAGAATATATATTATTCAAATTAAAAGATAATATTTTCAAATATTATTAGGATTAAATAAGTGAACATAATTGGATTGGCGAAATGTTGTATAATAAAGTTTAAATAGTTGTAGTAGTATAAAAAATACAATAACTTGTTAACGTTAAATAAACCATTATTACTTATGTGTGTTATAATGTAAAACACAATAAATTATACTTAAAACTCACTTAATTATTTTCAAACTTGTAACTCACTTTTTTTTTAATACATTATAAGATCTAATTCATAAAACTTCGAAATATCGTCGACATTTTTAATAATCTACAAGTATAAAAACACTTACCTAAGAGGGTTATATCGAATGTCGTCAAACATCGTTTCAATGGTGTTTCAATTGCTTGAGTACCAATATCCAGTACTTTTGTACGGCCCATCTTTTCCGAAAATCCACTGAACACATGACTTAAAATCTTATGCCTGGAACCCGGCATGATAATCACTCGAAAAATGCTGAAAAATTGAAAAATTTTAAATATTTTATTAAAATACTGAAAACAACAATTATGTACACTTTTGTGAAACATGTTAGAATTTCCAACTGAAGAACAAGTCTGGGGAATTTTGAGAATCTTTGAATACTGAGAAAAGCGATGGCAAATGAGTCGGATTATGCATCTGGTAGAAAGTATTTTTGATTGCGAAAAAATGGATTTGAACAACCACAAGTCAATTGAATATTTAACTTCGTATCATCTTAGTATGGATATGAATTCAAATTTTGTAATATATAATATTTTTTCTTTAAATTAAAAAAAAATTATTTACAGTTAATTTCTAAAATGGGTTTTAACTAAATAAACTACCAATATGTGGAATAACTAATAATGTATATACATAATTATGTTTTTAATTTTACTTTTATTTTGCTTAACACATTATAGCAAAGCAATTAGGTAAACACATATAAGAATAATTAAATACAAAGAAAATTAACAATGAGTTAAATTAAGAAGTTAGAGGAATTAACGATATTAATAATGGAATAGATGATAGAAATGGAGAAAGAGTTAAGGAGGAGATTAGCATTGGGAGCGAATAATTATATTATGTAAGACAATAATAAAATAAAATATTTGGACAGAAAAAATTAAGAATTAGATATTGATTTATAAAGAAAAATATTAATATTTAAAAATTAGACTTGAATAAATTCTCAATAAATTATATAAATGTTAGACAATTGAATATAAATCATACTTTAAATATGTTGGCTTCTAATGTTATAAAAGTGACAAAAATAGTACAATACAAGTAAATTAATTTTCAAAATTATAAAAGATAAGTGGTATAATGAAACTGATAGCTTTATCGTACATCATATGCTTTTATGGTTTGTTTTTTTAAATGTATCAATTTGCTTATAAGAAATAGAAAAATAAATAAAATTGAGTACGTGACTAATGAACACATTGATTATATATTAATGATATTTAAAAGTTATTGCCAATAGTGATAGTCATTTTTATAAATAAATTATTTTACATAATCGTATTATGTAAATTTGATAAAACTCCGAGTTATTTAAAAATATAAGCACAAATTGGTTCGGAACAGAGACGATTAACTTGATTAGCAAAGTGAACAGATTACAATTATAATATTTTTATTAACCAATGAAATACTCCAAAAACTTATTTTCCATCCAAAAGTCAAAAATATTCATACAAATACAAACCTATAATAACTAATTTACTTTACTTAATATAATATAATAAATATATTACTTGTTCGATTGTTAGGCAATTTTACAGATAAGCCGTCAAGATTTGAGCCGTCAAGTCCGATGAACGCCTAACTCGTTCATCGGACTTGACGGCTCCTGATTTTTTTCTTTGGGGTTATGTGAAATCCAAGGTGTTCGAAAACAACCCACCAAGGACTATTGTTGACTTGAAGGAGCGGATTCACCTTGAAATCAACAACATAACCTTGGCAACACTTCACAACGTCATGGGAAGCTTCGGTGTCAGACTCTCACAATGTGTGGCTAACCAAGGAAGGCATTTGCCCGACACCATCTTTAAAAAATTAAGTTTTTAAATATATAAAAAAATTCCACTTGTGTACTTTTTATTTGTTCGGCGAAAAATTAATAAAAAAAAATTTTTCTATTTTTTTTTATTTCTTCAAATCGTCGGATTTGACTGCCACACCCTGTGCAACACAGAACAATTAAGCAATTAAAAATGTAATACAAACGAGTAATAACCTAACAGCCATGTAAATTATATCTAGTTTGTAAATATTACATTCGATTTTAGATAATATTTAAGATTTTTTTCAATGTTCTTTATTAAATATTTTTTTAGAATGATAGCAAAATTAGTTTCAATAAAATATAAGTGTAATAAATATCAAATATAATATTAATTATTACATATTTTTGACTTTGATTATACTATAGATAAATAACATATTAATTGGAATAAATAAAGAGCGATTTAAACGCGAAAAAAAATAATTAGGTACATAATAAAAAAAAAGATTAGTCTATTTGATTTAGTAACTTGATATTAATTTAATGCTTGTATGTTATATTGTGTACAATGTGTTTATGTAATTGTATACATTTTATATGTATATTTTTCTATATAATCATAAGTTATATGTATGCAAATCAATGATTCATTTATAAGGCGTATTACTAATATTATAATACTACCGTGGCTCATTTGAGATATCTCAAAAGGATTATTTTATATTATATTATTACAATTATTGAACATTTTTGAAGGATTCTGTAATAGTGTAGTTAAATGTATAGTAAATGAAATTATAAGTACATGGAAACTTTTTGGTGTATTCTTTATTTAAATATTTATAATATGTATATAATGTATTATATTCATATGTAAATAAATTATAGATTTATTTATTGAAGTATAAAATATGAGTGCTAAATTAATTTGTGGCACAATAACTAATCCTTAATGTTTTGGAACCTTCAAAATATTTACAAAAAATGTTTTGAAAAAAAGGCTTATGGAAACTTTTTTGACTGAATATAATAACATATTTTAGTGTATTATTTATATAATATATAATTTAAAAAAATACACGATTAGATATAACTGAGCAGAGATCGAATTGATTTTTGATTGCGTTTGTTTATCATTGTATTTGCTTTATTGTAAAAAATTATATTACATTATATTTATTTACTAGCTGACCCTATAAACGTTGTTTTGTCATATAAATTATTTCTAGAGAATATTTTCCTTTGAAAAAAATAACTAATTTAATATAAGTGTGTAAGGATGTGATATATAAGTGGAAGAAGTTTAGAGTGCTATGAACGGTGACGGAATATAAAAATGAAAAAACATTAAACATTTATTTTTTTAATAATTTATTAAAATCGATCCTTTAAAATTATATATATCGCTAATTATGACAATATTAGTAAAAAAACAATATCAATCCCTTAATGAAACAGAATGTACAATATTTTATGTTATTCTATCTTTCGCCAACACAAACAAACTGAATGGTTCGAGAGCACGCCACGTATAATTGTCCGTGTGAAAATCATGATTTGCTCAAATCTAAGCCACAGACATCATTTAGCCTTGAAACTTATTGATAGTCATTGCAAATGCCAATCCAATTGGAAATTGAAGGCGTTTAAATTGAATTGGCAAATCTGTTGGTGTAATAGGGATTCATGGTAGTAATATATTTTCACCTCGGAATTTGCCATTTAAAATGATGGCTTCGATAACATTTTTCATTAATTTTTTAATGACTAATCGCGTTCCGTTGCACAACTGTGGTAGGTTCAAATTACGAAGCGAAATAACCGGAGATCCAATTTTCAATTGTAAATTATGAGGTGGCATACCTGGTAAATCCAATGAGTTTAAAAACTCTGTTTGGATAATTTAAAGCTTCAGTAGCATCGTAAACTGTATCAATAGATTTGTATGATTTCAAGTCTCCTGGTAACAATGTGGTATCTTGAGATTCAATTCGTTGACGTCCACATTTTTTGCTGCTCAAGTTGCTCTTTCTGTCAAACACTCATGATTTGTGTTTTTTCTGTGTACATTGCGAAATATCTGGTCAATGAGAGCATCTTCCGAATCAATGATTGCGCAGAAATCGGTCAGTAATTGTATGCATCCCGTTTCATCTGTAGTAAATTTCCCATCACCGATATCCAACAATTGTTTTAAGAATCTTCCGTACGCAGCTTTTTTTGATTTAATCGCAATTATCGTAATCATTCGCTCTCTATCTTTACATACATGTCGACCATGAATTGTTGACAAAACTCACGAAATCGTAGAATAACGTTGTCCTGATCGCATCTAATCATCAACCGATATGCATAGTAATCCTTCGAACTAACATTCTTGTTTGTTTTGGCACCTGTTGCGGGATTTTGTTGTTTAATATTTATGCAAAACCCGTCATTTAATAACAAAAGTAAAATGAATAGTTTTTAAATAGTTTTTAATAGTTTTTTAATAGTTTTTTAACAGTATTATTTAATAATTAATTTTCAATTGCGCAGTTATCGACCGGGTCAACAATTATTGAATTAAACTACGATGTATTTAACAATAGCACTTAGGAGCTTAAAAAATAGATAAGAACCTATTCGCAGATCTACCAAATGTATATATAAAATTTCATTAAAATCGGTCAAGCCGAACAAACACTGTGACACAAGATTTATATATACAGATAATAATGTTTATAACACCTATACTTGTAATTGTACAGCTGTTTCGTTTAGTCTAATATAAGTATTTCCTTGACAAGCTGAATTTATTTTAACGCCTAACAATCATTAAATTAATTTTTGTTAGCCTTAAAAAAACCCCCGCTTAATAGGTAATAAAATATAGTGCTTAACCTATATAGTATGATAATGATTTTAGTAACCATTAAATATCACAGCTGGGTGATCTTGTATTGAAATAAATATTTTGGAGGGCTTATTGGATACCGAAATACACATAATTTAAAATGTTTTTCATTTTTAATCCTAATGGTACATCCATATGCAATACAATTTACTTTTTTTTAAATGTCAACCCTAATTTTTTTTCTACATAATCTTATAAAATTTTTTTTCATACAAATTTAATATACATTTTTTTTTTCTATTTTTGAAATTGGCTAAATGGGAGTAAGTCAAACTTTGAAGTTATATATAATTGGTTTTTACGAAGTTTTTACCTAAAGCACTAAATTATTTTAAAGTATTGTCAAATAATTAAACTTTATTTTTAATACGTTATATTTTTGTTATTAAAATAATAATAACAGTAGCAGTAATCGTAGTAGTAATTTATAATGCAGAAAAAAAATTATTCAGTATATATATTTATCTAATGAATTTTTTAAATGGTTCTGTATTATATTCTAAACATGTTTCAAGCCTATTCAATAATTAGTTGATGCTACTTTGACTTGGTCTTCTCTAAAAACGCCACATGCTG